CAGCTCCTCAGGGCAATGCTCCTCCTGCTCGTGCCATCCATCATCAGCAGTGTAGAAGGCGTGATGTGGCCTGGAGAAGCACACCTTGCCCTTGCCCATGCTCCTGTTCTGGTAGCTGGGTCTGGGCTGCGTCCACGTCGAAGAGCTGGAGCCATACCAGACTCACCCTTGCATTTTTGGTGGATGTGTATGCGGCCGTGCTGGAGGATCAAGACGTCCTTGATCTTGTCGAAGGCTGTCACATGTCCCGTGGATGTCAACTCCATCGGACTCTCGGAAGGCGAGAGGCTTGCATGGTCCAAGAAAAGGGAGCCAAGCAGATCGCCGCTCATCAAGATCTCAGGATCTAACTTGGAGACAAGTTTCCACCAGCGCTTCCTTCGGGATGTGTACGAGACAATGGACTCACCGCGCTGCCGCAGCAGTGGTCCATATGGCATCCGCCCAACCTGGAACAGGATCTTCGCTTCCTGCGCCTCGATGGGGAAGAGTGAAGTACGAATCGCCAGCACCAGCTGATCGATCCCGTTCGGAGTCAGAAGCACGTCCTTACCGATATCCATGGCAGTATCGAATGCGTCACCTCTGAGGCCTTCTACAACCTTGTTGACAGCTGAGGTGATCAAATGTTGCTGCGGTGCACCCATCTCTTGATCCACTGAGGCCAAGGCGGCACTCATGCGCATCTCTGTGCGGAATTCCCACTCGTGGAAGTTGTTCACCGTGCCGTCGTAGATGTAGGAGCCACTCTTCGTCTCGGACCGCGTCAGCGCGTCGGCGCTCGGCCGATAGCGAAGAGAAGAAAATGCCATGGCGCAGGGCTCACCCCCCTAGCGAGGGGAACTGCCAGTACAGAAAATAAAGGGATCTAGTGCGACACTCTCTGACGAGACGTGCGCGCAGTGGTACGGTACGGGGATCGTGTGGTAGCTCCGCTACCAGTGTGATTATGATGCGTTTTAGCGCAATGGCAAAAAGGGCCCCTAGAGGTCAAACGGCAACGAATGGTGCATATACACACGTGAAACATGCACTATCTCACAAACGGGCTGAGGCGAGAACCACATTTTGAAAAGGAGCCGCCCGCCATCTTTGAACTTGCTGTAACTTTGAAAACGAATGTGCGCGGCGCTGAGGCGAGAGCCACAATTTGAAACAAACGCTCTCCATCCAAGTTGCTGCAAACTTGTAAAGCGAATGTGCGCGGCACTGAGTCGAGAGCCACGTGTTTAAGGACGACCTCACTCCACCTTCAAAGCTGATGCAAACCTTCAAGCTTTAAGACGAGTGTGCGCGCCGCTAAAACGAGAACCACATTTTGAAAACGACCCGCTCTCCATCCGTGAAGCCGTCGCAGTTGTTGACGATCGAGTACGCGTGTCCCTCAGGCAAGAGCCACATGTTGAAAACGACGTGCCCTCCATACGTGGAAGATGTGGATCAGACTGAAGGGGACGTCTCAGGCAAAACGCCCGGCCCACCCTAGCGACACGCGTCCAGGGTAGCGACAGGGAGGAGTCACTTATGAAGAACGTGGATGGAGGAGGTAGTTTTATGAGGAGGACACAGAGGACAACGAGGACGCGGAGGAGGATGAGGAGAAGGAGAGAGGAGACAAAAGGAGAAGAGAGGAGACAGGAGGATAATAAAGGAGACAGGAGGAGAAGAGAGGAGACAGGAGGAGGAGGAGGAGGAGGAGGAGGAGGAAAAGGAGGAGGACGAGGAGGAGGAGGAGGAGGAGGAGGAGGAGAGGTGGCGGAGGAGGAGGAGGAGTCTACGAGGGGGCGGGGCGCCTTTAGTCAGTCTTTCGAAATTGTTGAACGACCTCGGGGTCGGGCCGAGCGAGCATCGTCTAACCTGCCCATATCCCTACTGGAGTGGCCCCCCTGGCCGATTTCCCCTCCCCCCCCCTTCATGGTGATATAGGATGCAGGCTGTTCCCTTCGGGTTTCGAGGGGCATATCCCCAACTGGGGCGGGGATCAGGACGGGAATGGGCATCGGTTGAAACATACTGACGTCCGCAGGGCCCCCACCCTTAGGGCCCCACCCTTGAGCCGCCGGGCTCCGTCTCCCGCCGGGGGAGCCCGGCGCCGCTGCGGGCCGCTGCGGCGGGGACGCCGCCGCCCTCCGCCCCCCTCCGACGCCCAGACCGCACCCCGAGGTGGGACAAGTCGGCGAGGACATCCGAGAGCGCGGATGGGGATGGGGGCGGGGATCGGACCAACGTCACGGGGCGCCCTCCGACGCCCAGATCGCACCCCGAGGTGGGACAAGATGGGGATGGGGATGGGGACGGGGATGGGCATGGGGATGGGGATAGGGGATGGAGATAATTAGGGGATGGGGACGGGGATGGAGATGGGGATGGGGACGGGGATGGGGGATGGTTGGGGGTGGGAATGGGGGCGGGGATCGGTTCAGCGGCACGGGGCGTGGCCCCGAGCGCGGCTGGGGCCTCGCAGTGCAGCGACCCGCCCGAGCGGCTCCGCGCCAGCGCGGGCGCAGCGGGGGCCACCGGCTGGTGCACGGCCATCGCCAGGCCAGCGCGGGGGGGGGGCGCTGCCAGCCGAGGCGGCCACGGGGGAGGAGGAGGAGAAGGAGGAGGAGGAGGAGGAGGACCAGTGGAAACCCAGGACCCATCAACGATGTTGTGCTAAACCCGCCCTCCAAGTTCCCTCTTCGAAGGCTCCCATAAGGATATATCTTCACTGCGGGAAGAGCCCCATTGAAAGACAACAATCTGAAAATCACCAACCGTGCCAAAGCATCATTCCTGGGACATCAACGCCGCGAATCAACGTGAATGCTGCGACCTGACGAACCCAAATCGTGCCAGAACGCCGGTTCTTGGACGTCAACACCGGAATCAACGTGACCGTCGCGTCTTGACAACCCGAAATCGTGCCAAAACACCGTTCCAGGAACGTCAACCATAAGAGTCCTTGAAACTTCTGCGCGGCGCTCAAGCGAGAGCCGCATTTGAAATGGAGCCGCCCTCCATTCGTGAAGCCCTCCCAAGCTTTTCGAAACCGAACCTGCGCGGCGCCAAGGCGATAGCCGCATTTCGAAAACGGCCCGTCCTCCACCAATGAAGCTCTTGCAAACTCTCGAAACGAAGGTGCGCAGCGCGAGGGCGAGAGCCCCATTCTGAAAACGACCCGCCCTCCATCCGTGAAGCCGTTGTGGATTTCAGGCTTCACGACCACAAGTGGCGAGGAGGAAGTCCCAGGCGAAACGACTGGCCCGCCCTGCCGACCAGCCTCGGCGGGCGAGGTGGAGAATTCAGTTAGAAGGAAGGAAACGTGGACGAGGAGGGAGGAGGAAGACCAATGCACAACCAAAGCTCATCCACGATGTTGGAACACACCCTCCCTCCAAGTTCCCCCTTCGTGGACTTCTATATGGATTTGTCTGCACTGCGGGGAGAGCCCCATTGAAAGACAACCGTCTGAAAATCGGCCACCGTGCAGAACACCATTCCTGGGACACTAACGCCGCGAATCAACGCTGATTTTGCGCACGGACGAATCTAAATCGTTCCAGAACGCCGATTCTCGGATGTCAACACTGGAATCAACGTGACCGTCGCGTCCTGACAATCCGAAGCTGTACCAAAACACCGTTTCTAGGACGCCAACCAAAAGAACCTTTGAAACTGCGGTAAACTGTTCAGACGGATGAGCGCGGCGCTGAAAAGATAACCACACTTTGAAAAAGAACCGCCATCATCCGTGAAGCTCTTGGGTCAATTTACAACGCATGTGCGCGGCGCTCGAGCGAGAGCCACATGTTGCAATGGAGACGCCCTCCGTCATTGACACGTTTGCAAACTCTCAAGACGAATGCGCGCGGCGCTAAGGCGAGAGCCACATTTTGAAAACGTTCCGCCCTCTACCTATGAACCTGCTGCAATTGTTTAAAGTGAATGTGGGCTGCGATACAGTGAGAGCCACAATTTGAAAACTACTCGCCCACCATCCGAGAAGCTGCTGCAAACTTTTGAAACAAATGTAAGCGGTAATAAAGCGAGGATCACATAAACGACCCGCCCTCCATTCGTGAAGCAGTTGCACATTGCAAGCTTCAGGATCATCTATGGTGAAGAGGTCTCAGGCCTCCAATTTCTTCTTCTTCCTCCTCCTCCTCTCCTTCTTCCTCCACCATCTCCTCCAACATCTCCTCCTCCATCACCTCCTCCTCCTCCTCTCTTCCTCCTCTTCTTCTTCTTCTTCTTCCTCTTTTTCCTCCTCCTCCTCCTCCTCCTCCGCCTCCCTTCTCCACCTCTCTCCCTCTGCACCCCTCCCTCCTGGCACCTTCTTGCCTCCTGCTCTTTCTCCCCCTCTCAACCCCCTCTCCCATCCTCCCTCCCTTACCGCCTCCCCTCCTAATCCATCCCTCGTCCATGCCTTCGTTCTTCCTATCTCGCCTCTGCAAACCTGGGACCCACCAGCCACATTTGCCTCCGATCCTTGAAGGCTCCGAAGGAAACAGGGAGGGAGGCGAGGGGAGCTGGAGGATGAGGCAGACGACGAAGGCGAGGACGAGGACAAGGACGAGAACGAGGTCATACGACGATGACGACGACGACATACGACGACGTCGACGACGACGACATACGACGACGACATACGACAACGACGACAACGACGACGACGACGACAACGCCGACGACGACGCCGACGCCGACGCCGACGCCGACAACGACGACGACGACGACGACGACGACGACAGCTGCGACGACGAGACGGAGAAGAGAGGTCACGAGGATGGCAGAAGAACTGGCGAGGGACAGCAAGAGGACGAGAAATGGGGCGGCCGGGAGGGGAGGGAGCACGAGGAGGTGAGGTGAGGGTGGGCGAGGGGGGGGGGAACAGGAGGGGGGAAAGAAGAGGGGGTGGGCAGAAGGGGGGCAGTGGGCCCCAGGGGCCCGGGTGGGATCGGGATTCGCACCAAGGCGGGAAGCTGGGGGCGCCAGGCAGAGCGGCCCCCGCCGGGAGCCTTCGTGTGCGGCCGCGGCACGCGCTGCATCTGCAGCCTGATGCCGTCGGCGAGGAGCTCGTTGCTGGTCGTGTCGTGGTCCTGGCGCGCTCTCGTCGTCGTCGTCGTCGCCGTCGTCGTCGTCGTCGTCACCGTCGTCGTCGTCGTCGTCGTCGTCGTCGTCGTCGTCGTCGTCGTCGTCGTCGTCGTCGTCGTCCTCGTCATGATTGTGGTGGTGGTGGTAGTGGTGGTGTTGGTAGTGGTAGTGGTAGTGGTGGTGTTGGTGGTGGTGGCGGTGGTGGCGGTGGTGGTGGTGGTGGTAGTGGTGGTGTTGGTAGTGGTAGTGGTAGTGGTGGTGTTGGTGGTGGTGGTGGTGGTGGTCGTCATCGTCGTCGCCCTTGTCGTCATCGTCGTGGTGGTGGTTGTAGTGGTCGTCGTCGGAGGAGGAGGAGGAGGGGAAGAGACGGGGAGGAGGAGGAGGAGGAGGAGGAGGAGGAGGAGACGGAGGAGAAGGAGGAGGAGGACAAAGAAGGGAAGCAGGACGAGGAGGAAGAGCAGGAGGAGCAGGCGTATGTGAAAAAGGCGTTGGGGAGGAGGAGGAGGAGGAGGAAGAGGAGGAGGAGGAGGAGGAGGAGGACGACGACGAGGAGGAGGAGTGGGATTAGGAGGAGGAGGCAGAAGAGGAGGCGAAAAGGGGGGAGGCGAAATGGAGAGGAGGAGGAAGAGGAGGAGGAGGAGGAGGAGGAGGAGGAGGATGCGAAGGAGGCGAATGAGGAGGACGAGGAGGGGGACGCGAAAGGGGGGGGGGGGAGTGCGCGACCGCCAGGCAGCAGTCCCACACGTCGGCGGCCACCCGCCCAGCAGGTCCGCATGTCGCTCCTCTACCTGGCGCATCCCTTTCGCCAGGCCGAGGAGAGCGAGGGAGATCCAAACGGCGGGCAAACGGTGAACCACCTCCAACCCATCACCATCACTAGCACTATCACCACCATCATCATCACCATCACCATCACCATCACCATCATCACTATCATCACCGTCATCACCATAATCCTCACCATCATCCTCACCGTCATCATCACAACCATCACCATCACCATCACCATCACCATCACCATCACCATCACCATCACCATCACCATCACCATCACCATCACCATCACCATCACCATCATCACCACCACCATCATCAGCATCATCATCCTCATCCTCATCCTCATCCTCATCATCCTAATCATTCCCTTTTTCACATCATCATCATCATCGTCGTCGTCATCGTCGCCGTCATCGTTATCTGAATCGTCAGCATCATCATTATCATCATGATCACCATTATCGCCGTCGTCGTCGTCATCACCGGCATCATCGGCATCAGCATCAGCATCAGCATCATCACGGACATCAGCATCATCGTTATCATCATCATCATCATCATCATCATCATCATCATCATCATCAGCATCATCAGCATCATCATCATCAGCATCGTAATCGTCATCGTCATCATCGTCATCAGCATCATAATCATCGTCGTCGTCAAAATCGTCACCAGCATCACCATCACCAATATCATCATCATCAATATCGTCATCGTCATTGTCAACGTCACCACCATCATCATCCGCGTCGTCATCATCATCAACCACATCATCATCACATCCCCCTTCGATGGGAGTCCTTCTTCAGGTTGTCGAGGTTGACCTTGATCATCGCCGCTGGCCCGACGCGAACGTGTGTCGCGTCCGAACGTCCACCCCGCGGCCCGCGGCCTGAGCCTCCGCACCTCCGCAGCTCACCCCGGAGGACGAGGACGAGGAGGCGAAGGAAGGAATGATAGGAAGAAACAGGAAAAGGAGGGGGAGCAGGGGGAAGAGAGAATGAGGATCTCGAGGAAGGAGGAATGGCCATGATGACGATGATGACGGTGATGACGATGACGATGATGACGATGATGACGATGATGACGATGATGACGATGATGATGATGATGACGATGACGATGACGACGATGATGCTGATGATGATCTTGATTGTAACGATGGTGATGAGGATGATCATGATGATGGTATATGATGATGATATATGATGATGATGATGATGATGATGATGATGATGATGATGATGATGATGATGATGATGATGATGACGATGATGATTATTGTTATTATGATGCTGATACTGGCGATGACGGCGATGATGGCTATGATGGTGATATTGACTACGATGACGGTAATTGGGATAATGAGGATGGAGAGGAGGAGGAACAGGATGAGCAGTAGGACGAGCGGATGATGAAGATGATGCTACTGCTGCTGATGATGATACTGATGGTGGTTATGGTGATGATGATGATGATGATGATGATGATGATGCTGATGATGATGATGATGATGATGATGATGATGATGATGATGGTGATGATAGTGATGATGGTGGTGATGATGATGAGGAGGAGGAGAAGGAAGGGGAGACAGAGGAGGTAGAGGAGTAAGAGGAAGAGGAAGAGGAACGGGTGAGCGATGGAGGATGACGACGATGACGACGACGACGACGACGACGACGACGACGACGACGACGACGACGACGACGACAGCGGCGGCTCTCCCGCGGGGCCCAAATCCGCTGGACCAGACCCCTGCCAGGGTCCATCCTGACCCGTTTGTCCAGGGCCTCATGGAGGCCGAGAAGACGGGGCAAACCGCCTGGGCGGGCCACCGGTGTCCCGACTGCCCGAGGACGGTGAGGCCGAGGATGCTCAGGCAGGAAACGATAGGCACAGACACAAACGAACGTCGATCTCCACGAAGATGTTCGGGACATACGGGACATGGAGGGGGAAGACGGGCACCTCGAAACTGTGGACATATATGGGGGGGCCTCCTGGCCTCTGTGCCTATAGGGGAACAACAAGTGGCATAAACAAAAAACTCAAGGTCCGCGCGGATTTCTCGGATCGGCGCTGGACCCCCCTCCCTGGCGCGCGGAGCGCGCCAGGGGCGGCGCCGGAGGCGCCGCCGGGGGGTCCCAGCGCCGATCCGAGACATCCGCGCGGACCTCCGAGTCTTTATGTTTGTGCCACTCTTTGTTCCCCTCGCCTATCCCTCTGTGCCCCCGCGGGGCCCCCCCTGCCGATGCCGCCGAGGCCGACGCCGAGGCCGAGGCGCGGCAGAGGCAGGCCGAGACCACGCACGCCGGGGCCGCCCGCGCCGCCCCCGCCGCCCGAGGCCGAGGCCCCGAGAGCGGAGGCCGAGGCCGAGGCCCCGCTGAGGGAGCCAGGCGGCTCCGCCGCGGCGAGGCCCCGCTGAGGCCTCCGAGGCCGAGCACCACGACGGCGAAGGACGACGGCGACGACGGCGACGACGACGACGACGACGGCGAACGACGACGACGACGACGACGACGACGACGACGACGACGACGACGACGACGACGACGACGACGAACGACGTCGGCGGCGGCGGCGACGACGACGACGAACGACGTCGGCGGCGGCGGCGGCCACGGCGGCGGCGCCGACGCCGAGGGCCGCAGAGGCCCACGGCCGCCCCGGCGGCCGAGAGGGGCCGAGGGCCGCAGAGCCCCCGCCGAGGGCCGGCGGGCGGCCCGCCGCCTGCGCGCCCTCCTCCGCGCCGAGGCGCCCGCGCGGGCAGCTCATGCGCGCCTGCCGGGCGTCTGCCGCCACCGACGCCGTCGCCGCCGCCGTCGTCGTCGTCGTCGTCGTCGTCGTCGTCGTCGTCGTCGTCGTCGCCGTCGTCGTTGTCGCCGTCGTCGCCGTCGTCGTCGTCGCCGTCGTCGTCGTCGTCGTCGTCGTCGACGTCGTCGTCGTCGACGTCGTCGTCGTTGTCGTCGACGTCGTCGCCGCCTGCGTAGTTGGTCCCGTCGTGGTCGGTGCTGGTATCCTCCTCCCCAGGTTCGAGGGTGGAGAGGACGAAAGAAGGGAACGACTAGAAAGAAGAGCAGGAAGAGGAAGAGGACGAGGATAGATAAGGAAATTGATGAGGCGGAGGACCAGGAAGAGGAGAATGAGGAGGACAAGGAAACGGATGCGTTGAAGGATGAGGAAACAAACAGGAACAGGACAGCCCGCGTAGGAGGGTGAAGGGTGACAGAGGGAGGATGAAGGAGGATTAGCGACAGAACATGGAGGAAGACGACGGAGCACGTGAATGGAGAGGAAGAACGGCAGGGTGGGGTGAAGGAACGAACGAACAAACGAATGACAGAGGCGGGCATGGTGTGGAGACCGCAGCCTCGAGGAAGGATGAGACAGCGGGGAGGGTGAAGCAGGAGAAAGAGCGTCGTCATCGTCGTCGCCGCCGTCGTCGTCGTCGTCGTCGCCGTCGCCGTCGCCGTCGTCGCCGTCGCCGTCGTCGTCGCCGTCGTCGTCGTCGTCGCCGCCGTCGTCGCCTCCGCGCGTCGCGGCGCGAGCCCCGGCGCCCGCCCCACCCCCCCCCCCGGCTGGCGCGGCGCCGCCGCGCTGGGGGGGGGGGGCCCTGGGCAGGAACCGCCGTGCGGCGGGCGCGCGTGGGGAGCGCACCTCGGCGCCGACGGCCGCCAACGACCTCGTCGTCGGCCTCGTCACCGCCGTGCTCGCCCCCGTTTTCCTCCACATCGTCGCTCGCATCGCCGCGTTCGGCGTCCTCGTCGTCGCCGTGCTCGTCATCGCTTTCGCCCTCTCGTCGTCGCTTTCGCCCTCGTCGTCGCGTTCGTCGTCGTCGTCGTCGTCGTCGTCGTCGTCGTCGTCGTCGTCGTCGTCGTCGTCGTCGTCGTCAGCGTTTCGTCGTCGTCCTCGCCTTGTCGTCGTCGTCGTCGTCGTCATCGTCGTCGTCGTCGTCGTCGTCGTCGCCGTCGCCGTCGTCGTCGTCGTCGTCGTCGTCGTCGTCGTCCGTCTCCACCGCCCGGCGGCGGCGGAGGCGGCGGCGACGACCGACACCACGGGGGGCAGGCCCTTCGCCTCCTCCTCCTCCTCCTCTTCCTCCTCCTCCTCCTCCTCCTCCTCCTCCTCCTCCTCCTCCTCCTCCTCCTCCTCCTCCTCCTCCTCCTCCTCCCCCTCCTCATCCTCCTCCTCCTCCTCCTCCTCCTCCTCCTCCTCCTCCGGCGCAGCCCGCGCGAGGCGGAGCGGAAGAAGGAGAGCGCGACCACAGGAGCTTCACACAGCGCAGTGGCCGCCACAGTGCGGCACAACTCAGCGGCAGCGTAGCGCGACCACAGGAGCTTCACACAGCGCAGTGGCCGCCACAGCGCGACACAACTCAGCGGCAGCGTGAAGGCACATGTTCGAAAGAGGATATGCACATCACTCGCCGCACGAGCGCACGCCACAACGCGTGCATCGACCCCCCTCGGCAGCACCCCCGAGGTCGGGGATATTCACCGCCTGCGGAACCCACGCCCTGGGACTCCAGCGTGCGGTGGGTGTGGATATATAGAACTTGCCTCCGGGCGGCCCGAACACATCCACATCCGCCGCCTGCCGAGGTCTCCGAAAACCCATCTCCCAGGCCGCGGCTATGCACAACTCCCCGCCTCGGGGCCGGAGGCTGGACGAGCGGCACCGCCAGCCTCAACTCTCGGAGCGAGCGCCGCGCGGGCTTCTCGGGTCGGCGCCGGGCCCGAGAGCTCCGCTCGGAGCTCCGGGAGGCCCAGGGAAAAATACCGACACCGCTGCTCCCCGGACCTCTCTCCCGGGGTGCGCCTTGGGCCTTGGCCCGACTTTCGAGGAGAACCCTGTCAGGACGAGCAGCGGCATCGGTATCTCCCCCTCCCCTGGATGCTCGTGATTTGTCCTCGTCGTCGTCGTCGTCGGCGATCTTTCTGCCTCTTCTCGGGGCGCGCGGCTGGGTCCGGCCGGAGCCCCTGGGGCGGGTCTGCGCAGGCGGGGCGGCTCGTCGGAGGCCACGGCGCGCGCTGCCTGCGAGGAGGCAGGAGAACGAGAAGAAGGGAGGAGGAGGAGAAGGAGGAGGAGGAGGAGGAGGAGCAGGAGGAGCAGGAGGAGGGAGGAGGGAGAGTGGAGGAGGAGGAGGAGGGGGAGGAGCAGCAGCAGCAGCAAAAGGAGAGAGGCCCGCAACGAGGAAGCAGCCGGCACGGAACGAAGTACCAGGAAAAAGAGGAGGAGGAAGAGAAGAAGGAGGAGGATAATGAGGAGGAGGAAGAGGACTGGGGGAGGAGGGATCATATAATAGAAAAGAACAAGATATGATATAACATAATAGAACATAATGGAATAGACCAATAATCTATAACATGATATAATAGCATATGGTAGAATAGAATAAAGTAGAAACTACTACACTAGAATATAATAGAAAAGTATATAACAGACTAGACTAACATAGAATAGAATAGAATAGAATAGAATAGAATAGAATAGAATAGAATAGAATAGAATAGAATAGAATAGAACAGAATATAATATAATAGAACAGACTATAATAGAATATAATATAATAGAATAGAATAGAATGGAATAGAATATAATAGAACAGAATATGATAGAATATAATAGACTATAATATAAAGTAATAGAATATAATAGAATATATAGAATAGAATAGAATAGAATATAATAGAATAGAATAGAATAGAATAGAATAGAATGGAATAGAGTAGAATAGAATAGAATAGAATATAATAGAATAGAATAGAATAGAATATGATAGCATAGAACATACTAGAATATAATAGAATAGAACGGAATAGAATAGAACAGACCATAATATAACCTAATAGAACATAATATAACATAGTAGAACCTACTATGATAGAATAGAACCGCATAGCATGGCATATGATATAATCGAATACGCAATGGAGCTCCTCGTCTGGACAGGGCGACAGTAGAAAGCCCTGCGCGCTGCATCTGCAGCTTGAAGGCCACTCAGTTTCGCGGACGGCCTGTCGAGCGCCGCCCGCGCTGCCCCATACTCGGCGGACCTCCACATGTGGCGCGCAGCCCTGAGGAGGGTGCCCAGCGTCGGGGACCAGCTTTAAACCTCCGCGCCTTCTCGAACGAACCTGGTCGGTCGAGCGTAGGCTTCATCTGCCTGCGGTTCGGGATTCGGAATGGGGGGAGGCTCAGAAGCGGGAGAAACACGATCAGGTCTGTCCGAAGGCGGATTGACATTCGAACTCCTTCCCCGACCACCCCCCACTCCACGACCGCGACGACCACGACCCCTCCCTTTCCCCTTAGTCTGCACCGCACGTGGGTGCACCATCACAGGAACCTGCGGCAAACAGGGATCTGAATGAGTGGTAAGCTCAAACGTCTGCCCAAGAATGCCTCTGGAAACGCTACCCTGTCTAATGAGGCTCTGACGTCTCTCCGAATTGGCCGGCATCGAGTTGACAGGGATGGCTAAGCGGCGAGAGGCGAGAGCCCCCTGTATATTCAGGAGTCAACGCCGGTGCCGAAGTAAGCTTTGTCGAACTCCGACGCTGTGTCTGCCCACCATCCCTCACACTTCCATCGAACTGCGCCCCACTCAACGCCTGATCTGCGATGCCACCCAGCGCTCAGTCACCCCCCGCGGGGCTGGTCCAGGAATCTGCTCTGCCTTCTCCGCGCCCTAGTCAGAGAGTCCACATTCAAGTTGGTGGTGAGCACACCCTTGCGCTCCACGTCCATGTCCTGATCCCCCCCGCCCTTCAGCGCCCGCGCCTTCCTGCGCTTGCAGCTGAGCACCAGGAGACCGAGCTGCTGAGGCGTCTGCTTCTCTACCACCTCCGCCCAGAACTCGGAGAGGGCCGTGTGACCACGCTCGTGCGGGTGGCTGCCGTCCTTGGCGACCTTCCCGATGGCGCGCCTGATGATGTGGATGAAGAGCGCCGCGTGCGGGGCGCCTCTGGACTTCCAGTCGACCTTGGCCCCCTCCTTCTTGCGCTGTTTCATAGATTTGCTTGTGTTGTCGTAGTTCTTGCTTGCGTCGATGCACGCCTGACCGAGCGCGCCCTTCCCCTCCCCCACGCAATAGCTGCGATAGACGTTCGGCTCCAGCATCGTCATGCGCCTGGCAGCTACGACGCATGGCATGGCAAGTCGTACCGTGATGACGAATGAGACGAAGAGTAGGACGAGGGACGAGGAACGAAGAGGAGGAGGAGGAGGAGGAGGAGGAGGAGGAGAATGGGGAGGGGCAGGAGGAGAGGGCGGACGATGTTGAGGCATGGGGCATGGGGCCACCCGAGGGGGACAGGGAGAAAGGCAGAGCCAGGAGGGACAGAGGGCGTGGGATGGAGGGGTAGAGGGGGGCGGACGGGAATTAAAGGGCACAGAGGAGGGATACACCGGAGGGGGGTGCACCAGATAGGAAGGCACCAGCTATACACCAACACCGATCCTGGCCAGGATCGGTGTTGGTGTATAGTTGGTGCCCTCCGACCAGAGTAGGGCACAGAGTGGGCGTAGATATAATCATGGGGCGTAGGCAAGGGTCGGACGGAACCATGGGAGGGAGGAAAGAAAGGAGCAGGAGCGGCACCGGGGATCCAAGGGCGTTTCGAGCGGGATCAAAAGGAGGGAAGTAGGAGAACAGAGGCGGCAGGAGAAGCAGGAAGCAAGACTGATGGAGCACGCTCGAGGGCGCTGGCCGCAGGCGGGCAGCACTACATGTACGCCTCCCGGAATGCGCCTCCCCTTCTGCGCGGATCCTTCCTTCCCTCCTCCCTCCCCGATCCTCCCTCCCCTCCCTCCCTCCCTCCCTCCTTCCTTCCTCCCCTCCCCTCCCTCCCCTCCCTCCCTCCCTCCGATCCTCCTTCCTTCCCCCCTCCCTCCCCGATCCTCCCCGTCCTCCCTCATCCTGCCCCCCCCCCCGGGGATGGGGGGTCGTAGCCCCCCGCGCCTGGCGCACGTGACACACAGCCTTGCGGAAAATTGAACCCAGGACAGGGAATTCGGGGACCTGGCCGCCTTCCGAAATCTGCAGCGAACTTGCACCAAGTCAGTCAATATCCGCTAGGACCCCCTACAGTGCAAGCACTGATTGGGGAACTGTCGCAACAAACAGAATCTAGGCCACACCACTATTGGGCCACAGCGTTTACGCGGCCTTGGTCAACCTGCCGTCTGGCTGCACTGGATGGGCCGACCAGGCCATTCCAAGGCAGCAAGCGAATGGAGTTCTCGCACGAGCGTCCAGCCGAGTGGCGGCGACAAGAAGTGAGACAACGAGGGTAGATTTAATTGTCGATGAGAGGAAGACTCGGTCCATTCACGGGAAAGAGAACTGTCATTATCTTACCTCCTTCTCTCCCTCAACCTCTCACCCTCCCTTTCTCTTGACGAACCCCCAGTCCTTCCCCTGGCACTGTTGTTCTGGACCCCCCCCTTTGCCATCCCCCACGTTGCGAGCCTCGATTGCAATATGTTAGCATTAATCGGTTTTCAATCATCCTGAAACCTCCATCATCGATCATCCTGGCCCTCCACCCCTCTCCTGAAAGCCTCATCCTGTGACACTCCTCCTGCGATTACACGCCTCTGCCCTAACCGTCGCGACTTCTTCTTCCTCCTCTTGTATTTCTTCATTATTACTATTATGTTCCCTCTCCTCCTCCTTCAACACCTCTCCCTGCACCTCCTCCTGCTCCTCCTTCTACTGGTGGCACTGCTGCTGCTACTGCCTGTGATAGTGCTACTGATACTGCTGCTACTGCTACTGCTACTGATATTACGGCTACTACTACTACTACTACTACTACTACTGCTACTACTACTACTACTACTACTACTACTACTACTACTACTACTGCTGCTGCTACTACTACTACTACTACTACTACTACTACTACAACTACTACTACTTACTAACTACTACTACTACTACTACTACTAACTACTACTACTACTACTATACTACTACTACTACTACTACTACTACACTACTACTACTACTACGACTACTACTACTACTTACTTACTACTTACTACTACTACTACTACTACTACTACTACTACTACTAACTACTACTACTACTACTACTACTACTACTACTACTACTACTACTACTAACTACTACTACTACTACTACTACTTACTACTTACTACTACTACTACTACTACTACTACTACTACTACTACTACTACTAACTACTACTACTGCACTACTGCTACGACTACAACGACGACTACTACTACTACTACTACTACTACTACTACACTACTACTACTACTACGACTAACTACTACTACTACTACGACTTACTACTACTACTATACTACTACAACTACCTACTACTACCACTACACTACTACCTACTACTACTACTACTACTACTACTACTACTACTATTATTACTACTACTACTACTACTACTACTACTACTACTACTAGCACTACTACGACTACTTCTGCTACTACTGCTACTACCACTACGATGACTACTACTACTACTACTACTACCACTACTACTACTACTACCACTACTACTACTACTACTACTACTATTATTACTACTACCACGACTACTACTACTACTACAACTACTACTACTACTACTCCTACTACTACTACTACTACTGCTGCTACTACTACTACTACTACTACTCCTACGACTACTACTACTACTACTACTACTACTAATAATACTGCTCAT